GGGGCGATTTTTTCAACCTATCGTATTTTGTTGTCTGTTGAACTACAAACAAATTTAAATCCACTACAAACAACTACAAACAAAGTCCTACAATGTGCACTGGTTAAAGTATTTATTTGTAAAAGTGGGGGGCTAACTTCACAGAGCTAAACTAATGCCCAGCCTCAGAGAATGGACTCAAAGAAAGCACGGTGAAGTTAGTTACTCTCTCACGCAGTTTCTATCCGACCATGGATACTTTAAAAAATATTTGCATCGAATGGCAAAAGCAGACCAACCTAGATGTATATATGGTGACGCAGAGCACACGTTCTTTAAATGCGACCGATGGCATAATGAAAGATATTCGCTAGAACGGGTAATCGGAGCATACACGACTGGAAATATTATAGAGAAAATGGTGTCAGAGGAAGATTATTGGAATGCGGTAGCAGACTTTGTCGAAGACGTGATTAAAAAGAAACGGCGAGAAATGGAAAGAGTTCCTGAACATCACCTCACGACGTAACATAATACTGCTACGACATAAACCTGCAACAATTGCACACCAGCGGCACTAATTTTATAAAATAGAATGGTGGCCCTGGACGCAGGGAGAGTAACAGAATGTGACCCGTTTTCAGGACACCGTCTTGGATCTTCTGCCCCGAAGTAATGCAATAGTAGTCTTGGGGCAAGTGAAGAATCCAGGAGAGGAGGAGGGAGTTTTTTAGTGGCTACACCACACGAGGGACGACGGTCCCTATATGGTGCGAAGGCATATTTTACCCCACCCCAACGCCAAAAAAAAAATAGGCGAGTCTCCCCTGAACCATTTTTTCAATATCTTTGGCCTATGTGCGCTTTTATTCGAAACCTGAATGTTTCGGTACCGAGTATCGAGATTATTGGACACTTTTTAAATCGGTACCGAATATCGATCAATACATAAAGAGATTTACTCAGCACATTACTAGAATCATAACCCTCACTAATAGGGCATTCGCACGCGGCGATTTTACAGGCAACAAAAGTTGAATGCGGAGTTGAATGAGAAGTTGAAAGTGAAAAAGTTGCTATCCCTATTCAGACGAGGCGATTTTCAATTCAACACGAATTGTTATTTACATTATTTAAAATGAATTAAAATCGCAAAATTTTATCAACTGGCGTAAATTTGGTAAGCCAAGCGTTGGTAGAAGTGCTTTTAGCGAAGCTGAAAGCATTGTGTACAAATACAAGTGAGATATCTTAGCAATAGACGTCATCCTGGGCCACAGCTGCGATCATCTGTTTTCTAGAGTTACTTATTTTGGTCTAAAGTGCGGTTTTTTGACCTGAGTTGTATTAAATAGTCTCTTAAAACTTGGTAGTATTTGCTGTTCAAATGGTAACATATATGCCCAAAAACTTGAAAAATATTAGATGATTGCTTTTTAAAAATGCTATTTATAAAATTTGGTTTTGATTGCGACATTAGAAATATACAGATTATAAAAGTTTTTCACATATGTTTTAAGATTTTAAAGCTTTTAAAATGTACGGTAGAATGCAACAATGTGCTTGAATTTGTTTGCTTCTTCGTCAACTTATTCGTTTGCAGACTAGAAAAATGGCGAACAGCCATCAAAATACTGATTCAAAATACACACAAATGGGTGCGCGCAGCAAAATTCAGCCCTAATGGTAAGTTCATTTCATCGTGCGGCGACAAGTTAAGAATTTGCGATACATTTTCAGGCGAATGTATGCGAACGTTCACCGGGGGAAGAGGTATGGGACGACAGCTGGCATGGCATCCAGACGGCAATCTGGTGGCTTTAGCATTAAGTTGTAACCGCGTTAAGATATTTGACAAAGCTGAAGGCGAGCTAATACAGTGCATTCGTCGCCGGAGAATGATGTTGCATTTCACCCAAGTGGAAATTTCTTGGTGACTGGCGGCGATGACGATACAATAAGATTGCTTGATTTATTAGAAGGTCGGCCAATTTATACACGGTAGTAGTGCACTTTAGCGGAACCATATAAAATACATTTTTTCCTGTATTCAACAGTTGCCCGTTTGGAAATCTAATTTGCATACATTTGATGCCAATAGCGCGCAACAAACAAGCCAGTTCTCAAAGAGCCCAAATTGATCTTAGTCACGCAACAGCTCCACATAACTCCGCCATAGACACACCAGTTGCTGGAGTACCAAAAAGCTGTGATGACAGTATTTTAATTGATCCACGACAATCGGTGGCATATGGAATGCGTGATGGAAATTTTCTGGTGCTTGATAGCCAATATACTACAAGAGTGAAACGCTGTGATAGTATTTTTTCTCAAATTTTCATCTTTTATTTGCAGTTACATTAAGAAGCTCATAGAGGACAGAGCGGTTGGTGAGGAAGGTGTCGAGTTACTGCTGTACTGCAACTGGGAAAATCCGCATTTCGCACGTGCTCCACTCGTATGGAATAGTAGCTTATGTCGAAAGGCTGGTTTTAGTATAATGCGGCATTCGCAGCATACCCTCACTGGCGCCGAGCCGTTGAAGAAATTTTGGATAAATAAACGTGCAAGAAATAGTTCAGATACTAGCACTGGAGATTTATTTTTTTAATATACCTTGTTTATACCTACACAAAATCCGGATTAGCAAAAAACTGATTGGACTCAACATATATTTCTTTACAGCATTTATCCCCCTGTCTTTATAGCGCACTCGATAAAGTCTTATTCAAAAGTAAACAAAATTGCTATTTTTAAACGACATTTTTTTAATAAATAATTTGCGCGGTTGACCGAAATGGAAACAAACAATAATTGTAATTTATTATAACAATAATACGAATTTAAAACGGGCTGTATA